AAGTTCCTACTCGTCATCTAAATAGCACTTTGAAAGCATTATAATGAATTGCCCGGTGGCACTATTTTCTGCAGTTTCGTGTGGCGCCTTTTAAGTTCTCTTTTGGGTGGCCGCTAAGTTGTTGGGCTCCTACTAAGATTCACCCCTACCTCTACTCACAACAGAACTCAAGAGATGCATTTCTTTCCTCTTTATCCGTAGAAAGTTTATGAGATTAACAAATCCGTGCAGTTTGTAACATGCCTCATGAGGCGTGATGACGGCACTTGAGTCTATTAATTGCCAACAACTAAAGTAGAGTACGTATAATTTCGATCGCTTAGCAATTTTCTTTGAGAAAAGAAAAGTCTACCATCCTAAATTTTCTGCATTTTCAAATTTACTATTTTTGCGTAAAGAAGATCAACAAATGCGTAACTAAGCTACTTATTTGTAAAAAAAGCAGACTTGATTTTACACATTTAGCTTTGCAAAGCTGCATGCGTCAATAACCTATAACGTATTATTGCCTCTTCTACCAATCTATTGTGTAAACGTCCTGAGAGCATTTCATGAGCGTTACTTATAGTTAATGTTTTGCTGCGGACGCTGAAACTGATGCGTATAAATTTTGGTCCTTTTATACAGGATAATACAGGGGAATTCTGCTCAAGCATGCGTAAAATCTACGCTTTTTATCAGTTTACCAAGAACTGGTCGGAGGCTTTACATGTGATCGTCATCGCGGACTCTGCAAATTCGAAGAACTGAAAGAAGAAGGCATGAAATTTGACCATTATCGTCCTCCTGTAAATCTGCAAAGGTCTGTAAGTATGTCTCGAAAAATCAGGCGACTAAACTGGGAAGAATTATAAACAATAAATGATCAGCGTTTCTGGCACATACTGCAATAAATCCATGATTACGAGATAGGGGTTTAGAATGTGTCCTCAAGACCGCTTCCTGCACCTGAAGGCGATTTATTAGGCAAGGAAACGGAGTACGATCAGTGTGATTGCAAGTTCTTAAACGTTCTGATCACCTTTAATTCCTTTCTATCTTTAGATGGTCTGATAGAGGACGAATGGGTG